ATATATATATATCTCGGATTTGTCACTGCCCATCTTGTTGAATTCCCTTGTCTCTTGCTTGCTTTCTGAAACAAGGAACATAGTTTCTGCAGCTTGTTGAAAAATTCTTTGCCCTGGACTTCTCCAGTGGGAGCAAGACATCTTTTTTCATCTGAGTAGTAGAAGGAAGGCATGAGGAACAATGACAAGAACTTAATTTATATCTTTCCTATCCTCCAGGAGCACAAGGGAATGTACATAGCACACCCTCCTCCAGTTTCCCCATAACAAGAAGCCTGTAGGGAGGTTGGCTTGAAAGATGGCAACTGATCTAGCCTTGCTTCAGATGCAGCTTCTTACTCTCTAAATCAGTGTTTCCCAACCCTGGCAACTTTCAGATGTATGGACCTCAACCCCCAGAATTCCCCTGCCAGCATGCCAGCTGGGGAGTTCTGGGAGTTGAAGTCCTCTAAAGAGCAAGAGGAAACACCATTAGCAGGGTTGCTTAATGTGGATCAAAGGGTTTTGTGCCTGCCATGGTTTTGTTTGCAGCCAAGCTCTATCTCCTCCCTGTCTTGAATTCTCACCAGAGCCAAAAGGTTTGATATAAATAAAATCAAACAAAAGTCATTAAAAAAAGTGCTAGGCAAGAAATCTCCCTAGGATTTAGTTCTTCCCAGGTGAAGAACTTCTTCTGGCTCCCTTTCCTTGTTTGTTTGTTGCTGACTTACTGCATCTCAGCTGATGAGGCATCCGAAGGAGAACTTCAGTGAAGATCTTAATGCCTGACTAGGCAGCTTGGATGAAGCAATGGTTCCCAATCTGAAGCCATGAAAATCTGAAATAGGTCAAAAATAAAGCACCCCCTTTTTCCAAAGCCTCATCTCGCTCCCCATTCCTTTGCAGAAATTCAAGCGGGAATGGTGCTTCCTGGGGGCGCATTGCAGCTGCATACAGGTTAAGTCAGAAATGAAATAAAGTGAGGAGGAGGAGAAACATTCAGATGTGTGTCCTACTAGAAGCCATCAAACTGCTCATTTCATAATGTAGCACTTCTCTAGTGTAGCCTGTCTCGGCCACTTCTCTCGCATTGAAAGAGCAGCAAAGGCATCTGTTAGCCAGACTTTGAGTCCAAGTGCTCGAGATCGCTTCACATACTATCTTAGCTATGCTGGAAGACCCTGTCTGGGAAGTAAAAAATCAAAGCAAGTCTAAAATGGGGTGGGGTGGGGTGGTTATTAGCTCTTAAACTAGTAGTCGTTGTGCAGATGGTTGAGCAATCCAGGCAGAAACTCAGACTTCAGTTAGGGCAGGGTTCTTCAGCCGTTTTCAGCCAGTGGGTACATTTGAAATAGAGAATGTTATCATCTTTCCTTTAAAATGGCTACCATGATGGAGGTGACTAATTCCTTCTCCTTCTCCCAGAAGGTCTCAACAAACACAATGGTTTTTTTTTTTAACACATTACAGTTATTAATTGATAAGATAGCTATATTCTGTCTCATATGTAACCTGTGTCTGCATCACCAACCTGTCTTCCCTTCCCTCCCCTCCCCATCTCACCCTGGTTTAAATTCTATATCAGTTTAGTCACTCTGTTACATCCGATGGTGGGCGGTAGCTCATGAAAGTGGATGCCTTTTAATAAAATGTCTTAGCTGGAAAAGGTGCAACCAGATTCTTTCTGATGAGAGAGAGAGAGAGAGAGAGAGAGAGAGAGAGAGGAAGTTTCCTTTTGTCCTTTAAACGTAGGGACTCATTTAACTACCACAGGCCAGGTGAAAGGCAGCCACAGGGCGTGGTGTGAACACTCTGCCTCTATCTGGGGCCTCACCATGTGTCCTTATGAACCAAAGGCTGCAAAGAGATGGCGCCACCGCCAACATGCAGGGCCTCCGGGGTGGGGATTGAGACTTCTGTAGGTAATTGCTCTGGAGAAACATTGCATGCGCCTGCTGAACTCTTGCTTTGCAGTCAGTCGTGATCTCTTCTGTCATTCTGCAGGGTTCCCTGGCTTCATAATCCTGATCAGCTTCCTTAGCAAGAAAGGTATTTATGGTCCCTATACCATCATAACCAGCTCTCTGTACAAGAACAGCTCCATGTGAGTAGCAGGAAAGCAGTTGCCTCAAATGCATAATTTTAACTGGTATATATTATATATTAAGTTGCTGCCCCTGTGCCTTAATAAGCATCATAAAGAGGAGGGGAGGGGGGCAGTGGCAGGAAATGTACAGACTATAGTTAGACCAGAGGGAAGAGGCCAAAAAAAAAAAAAAAGGAGAGGGAGTTGAAACAGGTTACAGGAAATCGACCTGCTCACCATTACCATGAGTTTGGAGGTGTCTTTAAAGTCTCCTTTCACAATCTGGAGCCCCTTAGAAGGGTTGGTAACCCCCAGGATTTCCAGTTACCAGAACCAAACTTTTTACACTTCCAACAAGGGTGCAAGGTTGGTGAAAGAGCCAAGTCAATAAAAGGCCTAGAGTGCATCAAACATACAAATTTGTTGTGGTTAACTTTTTTTCTTAGCTTATTGCTCTGTACAAAGTCAACCTATGGAGCTTACATTAGAAGTTAGTACAAGGAAGGTGATTTTGACTGAACAGGATTTCCTGTTCCTAATTTCCTAATGATCAGAGCGGTTTAGCAGTGAAGGCAAGCTTTGCTGGAGGTATTTAAAAAGAGTCTGGAAATCCTATATTAGTGCGTTGCTCTACTGGACATGGGTTTAACTAAATTTATCTCAAAGCTCAACCTTCCATCCTATCATTCTAAGATTCAGTGATTGTGGAGATTTTAAAAAATGGATCAATTCATTGTGTGGTGTAAACACAGCCATGGATGGGGAGAAACAGGCTGGAGCTCTGCACTTCCCAGACACAACTAGTGCTCAATTTAAGGAGACACAGTGGCCAGGAGAGCCTTTGCACAGATTTATCTGGTGTGCCAATTCTGCCCTTTCCTGGATGGGGAGACCCTACTCACAGTCACTTGTGCCTTAGTGCCTCACATGTGGATTACTGACATGTGTTTTACATGGGGCTGTCCTTTGAAGACTACTTGGAAATTATAGCTGGTTCAGAATGTGGCAGTGTTATAGGTGTGCTTCAGTACATTCATGTAACACTTCTGCTTCACAAGCTGCACTGGTAACCAGTGAGCTTCTAGATACAATTCAAGGAGCTGGTTGTCCTCTATAAACCCCCATATGGCATAGAACCTGGGTATTTGTGGGGCTGCCTGACTCCCACTGCGTCTGCCTATTTGGTAAGATCCAACTGAGTTGACCTGCTTTGGGTCCTGTCTGTTAAGCAACGCCATCTTGTGGGACCTAGGAGACATGCCTTTGGAACAGCATTCTCCCCAAGGTCCACAGAGCCCCACCTCTGCTTGCATTCAAGAGAGCCTTGAAGACTAGTTTTCTCCACAGGCACTGGATTAGGACACTATGGGTACTTACCAGGGAGGTTGAGTAGAGTTGCAAATTGTTTTAGGGGTGACAGTACAAAGCCTCTGTCCCTTAAACGAGGGATGCATTCCTGTATAGTTGATGAAGCAAGTGGGTGTTCTAGCTCAAGGTCATGAAATCTGGTCTTTTAGATGTGCTTGTGTCAAAAACGTTCTGTGAGATGTCTGGAAGAGACAAGGAGATATGGATTGTGGAGAACAAAGCTACCAGTGGTTACTAGTCACGTCTAAAGACTCTGTTACTTCCTGGATCAAAAGCAAAGAAGCTGTTCAACCCCATTACTAAAGAACATGGGGAAAGAATGCTTTTGTTCTCATGTTCTGCTTATGGGCTTCCTGTAGGCCTAGAGCGGGGAGCCTGGGGCCCTCAAAAGGTTGACCTACAATTTCTAAGAGCTTCCTGTCAACATGGGCAGTAGTGAAGAACACCGGGGGTTGTAGTTCCATAACCGTGAGTTTTCTGCCCTTGTCATAACCAAATATCTGATTTGCATTTTGGAAGTTGAATGCTATACCAGAAAGACCTTCCATCTGACCTAGCAGAGCTCTCCTATCTTCACATCTTTCTGCTATTGTCCTGTAATGAACAGATACAAGAAAGAATAATTGCTTGCTCATTTAAAGCTTTATCAAAAGTTGAAAACTAGGTTATGTTCACACAGTGTACTTAGCCAACTCATCTAAAGACTTAGGAGCTGCATTCACACAACATGGTAAACTTGGCTGGTGTTAATCTTTGTTAGATTTTTGTTTTGTTTTGTGCATGTGTGACTTAATGTGTTGTTCAAACTTGGCCTGTTTGGTCTATGAGGTAAACTCCAGTTAATTTAGTAACTAGATTAAAAATGTTGTGTGAACGTGACTGCTCTCATCTTGTGGAAAGGGTTGACGTTGGATTCTTCTTGCACAACTTTTCTTTTTATCTTATGGAAGCATAAAGGAGCATCCCAGAAGTATCTCACTGTGTTTTCCTCTCCTCCAGGTGTTGGATCACCTCTTCCACCTTGCACTATTCCACCCTTGCTTACGTTGGTGGCACCATATTCTTCAACATGGCTGTCTTGATTATAGTGGTGCAGAAACTTAGACAGCTTAGAGCCCACCCTTTCCATCAGCATAAGGAACACACCTGCAAAGATTTGGGAACAGTTCTTGTGGTGACCTGCCTCCTGGGGGCAACCTGGATATTGGCCTTCATGTCCTTTGGGGTCTTCTTAGTTCCACAGATCTTTCTGTTTACGATCTTCAATACGCTCCAAGGTTTGCAAAAACTACAGATCACTGAAATCCTACACCATCCACCCCCCACCCAAGTATATTTCAGTATGCAAAATGTTCTGCTTCCTTTCTTTTTCTTACAGGAGCCATAATTTGTCTCTGGTATTGCTTGTTACGGTGTCATTCACCATCAAGACTCTCAAGTGGATTTTCTCGTTCATCTCAATAACTGCAATGTCACCTGGTTTGTGAAACCACTGGACCAAAGAAGGTCTTGAGGATTGCACCCAGATTCCCAGAAGACATCTGGGCACTGCTGTCCCATGCCATGCCTTGTGGGACACTCTTCCTCCTCACTTGGGTCTGGAAGGAAGAACGTTTTGTCTTCATGGCAGTAGAAAGAACAAGAAAGTCCTGTGCAAGGACGCCTCCCACTGAAAGACATTGAAGGAAGACGTCTGAGGCACCAGACAAGGCTCATGCTTTGCACTAACAAGATTCTGCCTTGCACTAACAGAGAGGCAGAATCAGGCCCTATGACTTCTATCTCTGCTCCAAACTACAGTCTTGGCCACCCAATTGGTGTGAGCACTGCTGTTGTATGGTAAACCAGAAAGTAGATGAGAAATGCTAGGTTGGACTTTTTCTTTTCATAATTTACATGCCAAACATTTCCCCAGCTTGTCTGCAAATTCAGAGGTTTTTTTTTCTTTGCATAATTCATTTTTCATTTTCCTTATTGTACATAGACAACTGTTGCTGTAAAAGTTCGATTTGTTGCAAAATATTTTTCTTTCCTGGATATTTCTTTAATTCCTCTTCTTTCATCTTTATCTCATCTAGAACTGCTTGTGTTTTCTCTTGTCTCTGCTTTTTAAGTTTGCTATTATGTTGCATAAAATATCCTCTGATAAAAACTTTACTCACATCCCATACTGTCCTTATATCTGTACCTTTATTAAGATTATTCTCAATAAATTCTTTCAACTTCTTTTTACAGTCCTCTACTATTGTTTCTTTTTGTAATAATGTCTCATTCAGTCTCCATCTGAAGGAACTGATTTTCATTTTAAGTGTTAAAATCACTATATTATGATCTGAAAAAGTCTTTGGCAATATCTCCACTTTGTTGACACTGGAAGCTAAATTCTTAGAAATCCAGAACATATCAATTCTTGGAAAAAGATCTGTGTCTTTCAGAACAGTACGGGTATTATGTCTCCATGCATCTACAAGCTCTACATTGTCCATCATATCAAAAAATATTTTCAGTAGTTTGACTTGTGTTCTCTTAATGTCCTTCTCAGAGGTTCTATCTTTTTGTGGACAGACCACTCCATTCCAGTCTCCCATTAGGCACCAATTTTCATACAATAAATCCAATAATTTGTCCGTAAGTCCTTTATGAAATGTTACTTTATCTTCATTTGGGGCATAAATTCCTAATATCAGATAGGAGTTGATGGGTCTGAACAGTAGTGGGGTCACAATTCCCACACTGGCTTATGAAATTTGTGTAGGCCTTTTGTTAATTGTTACTATTGTTTTTACTATTATTATAATTTTACTTTCACCCTCTCTACTTCTCTTCTTTACACACTGCTGTTTATTTTAGCTGTTTTATCTTGTATTCATATTTTAATGTAGTATGCACTTTTATCTAAGAACAGCACAAGACTTATTTTCCCCTATGACATAGGCCGGTCTGAGAGCAAGGGACTATGCTGCACACCTGGAATACTGTGTCCAGTTCTGGTTACAACAGTGCAGAAAAGGATGCTGAGGAAATGGAAAGAGTGCAGAGAAAGAGCAACAAAGATCATGAGAGGACTGGAGGCTAAATCCTATGAAAAGTGGTTAAAGGAACTGGGTACATTTAGCTGAGCTAAGGGGAGGCATGATAGCAGTCTTCTGATATGTGAATGGCTATCACAGGGCAGAGGGTGTGGATTTATTCTCCAGAGCCCATGAGGACAGGACAAGAATTAATGGGTGGCAACTTAACAAAGAGAGAGCCAAAGCTGAAATAAGGAGGAATTTCCTGACCGTGAGAGCTCTTAAGCAGTGGAACAGCCTGCCTCCCGGGTCATGGGTGTGCTATCATTGGAAGTTTTCAAGAAAAGACTAGACAGCCATTTGTCTGGGGATAGAATTGTTTGGGATAGAATGAGGATTCCTGCACTGGGCTGGACTAAAAGACCTCCAAAGTCCCAACCCTATGATCCTATGATTCTATGACTGGCCCAAAGTCCCCCCAGAATCACCCTGGATTAACCATTAAGCAAAATAACCCACATGTTATAAAGGGCTGTGAGAATGACCTTGAGGAACAGGAGGAAGAACCAAGATAATGATCAGATAAATCTGAGTCCAAAGCAGAAATATAATTTGAAAAAGCATCTCAGACTTGACCCTCCCTAGTTCTCTTTAGGATAAAGGCAGGTTGGGGAGAGGCACATTCAGAGCTGCAAGATTCTGTTACGGTAACCCTATAATAAAAGTAGTGGTAACATTCATAACTTGGGTTTCCTTGTTTGGTCTACCTCAGAGGGATGACACGTGCTTAGGGCATCAAGGGAAGGGGGGCACCACAGAGTTTTTTCTCCTAGCCCTTCACTCTTTTACTGCACACTCGACTGTAGTCAATTTTTTGTAATTGTCCTGATCTGCCATGTTTGACTTTATCTACATTGTTAAAACTGTTTTCCTTGGCATGGTGAGTGACTAAAGTTGAAAAGTTTGGTTTGGAGATGTCAGATATCACATTTGTTTCTGTCTCATGGTGTGAGAGTTTTGCTTCTGTTGAGGGACACCACTGTTGGGCTGTGCTTAGGGCATCAGTTGGCCTTAATCTGGCCCTGCTTCTGGAGTTTCCGTGGCTGACAAAAGACTAGATCCTGGGTCTCCACACTCCTAGTCCAGCACCTTCACCACTACCTTCCACTTGCTGTGGGGCTGAGAGGGAGGGACTGGCCCAGACTCCCCTGGGGAGCTTTCATGGCTGAAGTGAGACTAGATGGTGGGTCTCCCTGTTCCTAATCCAACATGTTAACTACTGCATCCCTTTGACTCTCTAATTTCTCCTTATTAATTCTGGTATCTCTCTGTAAATTTAATAAATAAATACAGGCTTCAACCCACTCTGGGACTTGATGATGGTCTCAGCTCCTCCTAAGAAACTTGCTTCATGTTGGGCTGCTCTGGGATGCAGAACGTTGCTTGTGACTTCAATAGGGAATACCTGTTTTTTCCATCCTGGGGCTGTCAGCAGGAGACGAAGATACGATGCAAGGCTTGTGTCCTTGTCATAATTAAAGGGCATCTGGGCCAAAAGAAGTCAAGTTGGTGGCCATGACCCTGCATGGCCGATGCCCCGCCCCTGTTTTACCTGCACAAACCCTCCTTGCTGGGTTTCCTCCCAGGTTTCTACAGTCCAGAAGAGCCACTCAGATTTCTCTTGAACAGGGGTCTCCAAATGTTTTTGACTGCACACCTGATCAGTAAAAAAAGTTTGAGCGTGCACCCCCAATATTTTTCTGTTTATTTATCAATTAGATAAGTGTACCACTGCACTACTATATTATGCATGTTATAAAACATATGCCAAAAATAGAAGGATGAAACAGAAGATGAGATGAATAAATATGATTAGAGATCATTGTATTTTCTTCCTGGCCCTCAATGGATGGTCCTGCAAGCCCCTGGAGCACAGGAAGCCCACTTTGGAGACTGCTACAACACCATGCCAAATTATAGCATTTTGACTGTAGCATCCATCCACCTTTTTGTTGACCAACTGACATGGCTAAAAGGGGAAACCATTTAAAAGCATAAACCAATCTTTGCTGGAGGCTGTTCGTGTTCCATCTTTGCTTTGCATACTGGCTAATCAGAGACCTCAAAGGGATGTCCACCCTTAACTCATGGCCCAAGAAGGTTGCTGAAAGTGGCCCATAACTGATGCTGCAGAGGCAGGACTAACCCATGGCACCCTCAACCAGTTCAGTTAAAGACCTCCCATTTCAAATATCCAACAGGGTAAGCTTGATTAGTTTTAATCTTGGTTAGGTTAGGTGGGGGTTAGTATATTTTCAGCCTCTCCAATCACCTTGGAATGTAGGACAGGACACATCCAGCCCCTGTTTAGACTCCACCTTGATAGGTCAAAACCTAAAGAAAGCATTAGCTTCGGTTAAGTACAATATAAAGCCTCAGAAAGAACTGAATGGGAGAAAAGTACCACTAGATGGCATTAAAAGACCAGCCGCAAAACACCCCTTGGGGAAAATGTCTTAGAAACACCTGTTTCTTCCCCAATTCAAATATCATGATATATTGAGGAGCATCTGTAGGGTGTCCTGGGTGGAAAATGACCATTAATAGGAGAACGTGGCTGTATCCAGATTCCATACTGCAGTAGAATTTACTCTACGGGTAAAAGTAGAAAGTAAGGTCTTCTTTCAGTTCAGGTCAACTCCCGATGACATCCCAGCCATGTCCATGTCATTTTCTTGGCTACAGTATAAAAGTGGTGCACCGTTTGCAGTTTTCTGAGATTTTTCTTTTGTCTTTTGCTGATCCATGGGATTTGCTGCTGGCCTTGCATGCAGGTAGTAAATAGATCTGACACGGTTTAGCTTTTGGGGGCAAAACAATTTAAACATAAAAGCAAATAGAAGCAACAGCATGCAAGTGTTGCTCTACCACATCCTGGGAAAAATATTTTGAGAACCTTTCCAAGAAGCTATTACTTGTGATTGTTGACATAAACTGCTCCAAGGCTTCCTTCACTGGTGTCAGTATAAATAAAATGAATAGAACAAAATATAACAGACCAAAACAGACCAAGAAGGACAGGACAGAATAGAATGATAGGCCGGATTAGCCTTTGGCCTCATCCAGAAAAGATTTCTGTATGTTCAACCATGGTGGCAATTTAATGCTCCTGCATCCAGAAGCAGACCCCTTTTCAGACAGGAGCCTATGTTTAAGCCCACCTGTTTGAATTTGAAAAGGTGACATCAGATCAGTTCACATTCAAATGGGAAATGAATGAATTTCTAATTTTGTTAGCCCTTCGAGGTAGTCCAGACAAGAAGCACATCCAGGAGTACCAACTCTGCCTTTATTATAAGGTTACGTTAACAGAATCTTGCAAGACTGAAGGTATTTCTCCCCTCCTCTCCTTTTACTTTCTGGAAAACCAGGGAGGGTCCCTTCTGAGGCACTTCCCACAACTTCCCTCCTTGGCTGAGACATCTTTTACATGCTGGTTGTCCAGTCTGCAGCTCTCCCTTCTGTCTCCCAAGGTCATTCTCACATACCATCGCACACTGATCTCTAGCTATTGTGGGGATCCTGACCTACAAGGAATCAACTTCCATTCTGATCATTATCGGATGCCAGGATGTTGACTGGTCAGCCCATATTGTCTCTGCTCTTTGCACCCCCTTTTCTATTGGCATCTGAGCACATGCAATGAAGGGAACCACAACATGGTATCTTGTTCTGCCTCCCCCCGCCCTTATTACCCCATTTCGCACATGATTAATCATTTACATTTGGGGGGGCAAGAACTAAGGATGAAGCTGTACATAAATGTGCAAAGTACATTTGGCCAGTGACTGACCAATTGCAAAGCACTCTGAAATAATCATCAAGGAGGGAATCGTTTTTGAAATGCAGATCTTAGAGAGTTAATCAGGTCTATGACAGGCAGAGCATAAGGCTTAGAGATTAACTGATT